GCTCTGTGATTGGCTGATATTAGGCTCTGTTGTGATGTAATGCTCTGTGATTGGCTGATATTAGGCTCTGTTGTGATGTAATGCTCTGTTATTGGCTGATATTAGATTCTGTTGTGATGTAATGCTCTGTGATTGGCTGATATTTGATTCTGTTGTGATGTAATGCTCTGTGATTGGTTGATATTAGATTCTGTTGTGATGTAATGCTCTGTGGCTGCTATTAGGCTCTGTGATGATGTAATGCTCTGTGATTGGCTGATATTAGGCTCTGTTGTGATGTAACGCTCTGTGATTGGCTGATATTAGGCTCTGTTGTGATGTAATGCTCTGTGATTGGCTGATATTAGGCTCTGTTGTGATGTAATGCTCTGTTATTGGCTGATATTAGATTCTGTTGTGATGTAATGCTCTGTTATTGGCTGATATTAGATTCTGTTGTGATGTAATGCTCTGTGATTGGTTGATATTAGATTCTGTTGTGATGTAATGCTCTGTGATTGGTTGATATTAGATTCTGTTGTGATGTAATGCTCTGTGAATGGCTGATATTAGGCTCTGTTGTGATGTAATGCTCTGTTATTGGCTGATATTAGATTCTGTTGTGATGTAATGCTATGTGGCTGATATTAGGCTCTGTGATGATGTAATGCTCTGTGATTGGCTGATATTAGGCTCTGTGATGATGTAATGCTCTGTGATTGGCTGATATTAGGCTCTGTGATGATGTGATGCTCTGTGATTGGCTGATATTAGATTCAGTTGTGATGTAATGCTCTGTGGCTGATATTAGGCTCTGTGATGATGTAATGCTCTGTGATTGGCTAAACAGGGGCAGTTGTGATGTAGTTGATGATGGCGTAACCCCCGGTGACGGGCAGGGGGCCGGAGGACTGGACTCTTCATTCTTCAGTCACCTTAAACGCAACTGGCTCTGGACCACTCACCTGGTCAGCAAGCCTAAAAAGGTGAGACACGCGCTCATCAACACACGAAAGAGGCCATTCGGCTGTTTTTATGTAAAAAGTAACAGAACATCCCCACATCAGAATTTTCCCCGTCCCCTCGTTGTTAATACACTAATACAGTATTGTGCTAATATTAACACTGACGTTACAATAATGTTTCATGAGTTTCTTTGCGTTTCTAATTTTGATGTTCTTTTATTGCAGTATTAATATTATGGTAATTTGTTGCAAATGTTGTATTTATTTTCTATTAATCTTACCATATTTATTCTTCCATTAAGATTATATGAATGATATAATCTTGTTTTACTGTTGCATTAATTTTGAATTATTTAATTTGTTGTATGAATTTTTAAACAATGTATTAATGCTGTAAAACCTTATTTTGAGGTTGCATAAATATTATTGTAATATTACAATGCTGCCTCTTGAAGGAGACACAATACTGGGCAGCCAATCAGAAAAGAGCTCATTTACATATATCAGTCTTAAAGGCACAGTAACAAAAACAGCCAGTTTAGTTTGTAAGGGAACAAGAGAGGTTAGAAGAGGTTCATGTGAATATTAAGTATGATTGTTCACACAAACATTGTAAGTGGACCTCAGAAGGAAAGCAGTAAAGCACATTTGTGGATTATGGGCCCTTATATGTTGTATTAACACTGAACATCATATTAATGTAAACCTTTCAGCCTGGAGACAGTCACACTGTGCGTCTGAGGAACCTGCTGTCCAAACACCCCCTCCCCAAATCTGTGTGTGCAGGTCAGTACACTGTTCGTGGTTTGGTTTGTTAAAAAAGTGTTTTTTATTTCACTTCATTAGGATCCCAATCTCAGTGCAATAGTTGTTGATATTAATAAAAACAGTGGAATAAAGATGTTTCTGTAATACAGCCCTGATCCATCTCAGACTGAAAAGAGCGTAGGCATCTCAGGCACAGCTTTAGAATGATTTAAAGCAGATTCAACAAACAGAGTTTCTTATAGCATTGGGAAATTATTCATCTAAAAATGTTACCGTTGCCTTTGGAGTTCCTCAAGGTTCTGTTTTAGGGCCACTGCTTTTCTCTAGGAAATGTGGACAGCAAACATGAGATACATTCTGTTCCCTGACTCAGTCAATTCTCTTTACTGTAAACTCCCTGGTTCCTCCCAGCAATCCAGGGTGGTGTGGGCGGCGGTACTGTGGCTCCCCCTGCTGTTCAAGAGGACGAGGTGCAGATGGATGTGGAGCCAGGCTCCAGAAACCTGCAGGTCCGTGGAGGAAAGAAAAACAAACGCAAGAGACAGAAGAAAGAGAGCAGCAAACCGGCTAAAAAGAAGAGGAAAGGTGAGAGACTTTTTTGTGTACTCAGATTTACCCAGATTTCCAAATGTAGCTGGTCAGCCAAGACGTTTGGCGCTAGTTTGGTCACTCCTTTTAAGTTTTACCATGTAAAGCCTGTCTAACACACTCTACCTGGTGAGGGCATCCTTGGTTCTCGCCGCTGCTCCTCCCCTGATATGTTTAATGAGCAGCTAACGAGCAGCACAGCGGAGCAGATGTTGAACGCAGCTGGTCTAACGCCGCGTCCCAAACCACACTCTTCTGTACTTCACCTACTGCGCTAATGAGTGCACTTCTGATGGGATATGTGCTATTTTTACACACTATTTAGTGAGCTAGTGTGCGGTTTGGGACGGGCGCTAGTAATGCAGCGGGAAATCTCAGCCGTTTAGATTTCAGCTTTCATTTGTTAATCACTACAGCAGCAAATCAAATAAAATCAACTCAACACACTCAAATATATCAGTTAATACACTTTAAAAATGAGTTTAAAAAGTGTTTAAAAACATGTTTTACTGCCTTTGCTGGATCAGTTACGGCTTTATCTCATTACAAACCGCCACAGCACTGCTGAGTGAACTTGATCTTGGTGGCAGTGCGACTGTGACGTCATCAGAATACAATCAGTTACAAGTTTGAAAACTTTCAGCTTTTAAATCTTGATTGCATTTGTGTATTTTTTCAGTGGTCAGTGTGAGAAAGCACACACTGTGTCAGGATGAAACTGACCGCAAGGCTCTGTTGCGAATGACCAGACAGAGGGTCACCTGGACGCACCTGGAGGACAGCATTCTGATGCTCTGCAGAGTGGCCAGCCACTTCCTCAACCGCAAGGTATACATACGAACACTGTAAGGCTGTTTTCATGTAAAATCATTTGATAAATGCAGGAAATAAACCACATTACAGTTTCTCTTTTACGTCAAAACGTTTTCAGTGCAGCAAAATAAAATGTCAAATTTTAAAAATGTCAAGTGGTGCGACGTCCAAATACATTTGCTGATTAGGTAAATTATTATTAAAAAGGGTAATTTAGTCACATATATTTCTGAACAATACATTTTGGCTTTACTTCATGTTTTACAACAATAACGTTGTAAAATAGGGCAGCTTTAAACAAACTCAGCTCACTGAAAACACGTTCATCTGTAAATTTAGATTTTTTCAAAAGTCTTTTGACAAGAAAGGACTTTTATTCTGCCATGCTTAAGAAAAAGTAGTGGGCAGCATATTTCACTAAAAAGAAGACCCCATGATACTTTGATGGCGCAATGCCGAGGTCTCTACAGCTTTTTTTTAAATATTGTAAAAATGGTTATTTTTGAGATGTGATTAGGTCGTCAAGTCAGATGGTGCGACGGCAGAAAAACCATGAAAAGTGATGTTTTTATTTGAATTATATTTGTTTATTTGAATAATTAAAGGATGGACAGAGGCTTACACAGGTTAAAGCAAACCTTCCTCCAGTTAGACTAAATATTAGGAATTAAATGTAATCTTTATTATTAATAATAATGACTCGACAGTTCGATCATATTTGGTCCTCACAAGTGTAGCAATACAACTACAGGCATCTTCACACATTCACACACATTATTTTCAGACTGAAAAACTGATTTTTTGTTTTTTGTGTAGATTAAGAAGACGTTTGTTGCGTGGAACGTGGTTCGTGATATTCTCCACTCTGAGCTAGAACTGTCTCTAGATAAAACCTCGCTGTCAGTTGGGCGCCGTTCGCGCTACATCATGAAGAACCCGCAGACCCAGCTCAACTACAGGTAAACTACAGAACACTCTAGAACTTAGCTCAACTACAGGTAAACTACAGAACACTCTAGAACGCAGCTCAACTACAGGTAAACTACAGAACACTCTAGAACGTAGCTCAACTACAGGTAAACTACAGAGCACTCCAGAACTCAGCTCAACTACAGGTAAACTACAGAACACTCTAGAACATAGCTCAACTACAGGTAAACTACAGAACACTCTAGAACATAGCTCAACTACAGGTAAACTACAGAACACTCTAGAACATAGCTCAACTACAGGTAAACTACAGAACACTCTAGAGCTCAACCCAACTACAGGTAAACTACAGAATGCTCTAGAACTCAGTTCAACTGCAGGTAAACAACAGAACATTCTAGAACTCAGCTCAACTGCAGGTAAACTACAAAATGCTCTCTAACGTAGTTCAACTAGAGAACACTCAGTTAATCTTCATGTAATCTACAGAGTGTTTTGGAAATCAGCTCAACTACAGGTAAACTACAGAACGTTATAGAGCTCAGCTCAGCTACATGTAAACTAGAACCCAGATCCGCTAAAACTAAACTACAAATGCTCTAGAACTTAGCTCAACTACAGGTAAAGTGCAGGATGCATCTAGCATACAGCTCAACTAAGGTAACCTACAAAAAGCTCTAGAACCCAATAAAATGGAAAGTAAACTACAGAACATTCTAGAACTCACCAGACGGGACGTTCTAGTACCTTCTATTACACATCTTAACTTTAAATAAAGTAAAGAACCCCCTACAATACAGCTCAGCTACAGGTCGACTGCAGAACCTCCTGGAAAACACCAAAACTACAGATTAAACAATGCTTTAGAACTCGGCTCAAAAACCCACCTCAGCTACATGTGACTAGAGAACACTGTAGAACCCAGCTCAAGTACAGGTAAACTACAGAACCCTCTAGAACACATCAAAACTATGCATAAACTGCGTAGTTGAAGACCTACAGAACCCCCACTCATAGTTATAAATAGTTCAGTAATAGATCTCCCTGAAAGAAGCTAACGATCGCTAAATAACAGAACACTGTAGAACGCAACCTTCAATACAGAATGTGGTCTAGAACCCGTTCCAGTGGGACAGCACCGTGAGTCAGTGAGTGTGTGTGTGCAGGATCTGTCTGGCTGAAGTGTACCAGGATAAAGCCCTGATCGAGACGTTCATGAACAGAACCAACAACTACGACGACCCCAAGGTGAGTCTGACGCCTCGAGAACATGGAACGTGTTAAACTATCGGATTGTATTTGATGAAATGAAGAGTGGATGACGCTTTACTAGAACCCTGCTACGGAACACTAACATAACCGTGCCATAAACATGTCATAGCAGAGGTCATTACAGATGACGGTCAGTGATATAACAGTGTGATGTTATTATTACTGGTAACTGTCATAACGGCTTTATGTCACATGCTTAGTTTTGCTAGTTAGTTGTCATAACTTTATACATAAAATTAATAATAATAATAAGTTTAATTTAGTTAGCAAATCCAGCAACACTTTACACAAGTAACAATACACAGTTGTTTGCAAATGTTTGTGCACCCCTTGGTCATATTCCATGTTGTTGATTCTAAGTTACACATCCTCTAAACACACTAGTGCACATTTAATACACAATTACTGTTTATTTACTGAATTTAACACACTGGCAGAAAAAATAAAACATCAAATAAGGCCTGTACAAAAGTTACGACATATATACTGTGTATATATATATATATATATATATATATATATATATATATATAGACTGTGTATATATATATATATATATATATCTCCAAAATGGTAACTTTACAGCAGAAGGAAAAAACATACTTTACTTTTAATGTAAGTCAATGGAACCACATTTTTTTCCAAGTAATTTTGGGTCGTTTCTTTTGGTCCATTCATCATGAAATGTACACACAATGTAAAGGAAAAGAGGCATTTTTAAGTGATGTCATAAACTGAAAAACGAGAAAAGACGCAAGTGATGGAATAAAGCACACAAATGACGGATTAAATTGGTGTAAATTGACAGCCGTATTGCGGCAGAGTACTTACACCGGAACACACGAGTTATCAGTCACAACATCTGTACAGGTAATAATAACCTGGCACTGTTATATTACTGACAGTCTGTCAGGACAACTGGCGACTGTATATGACATCTGCTGTGACTGTTTATGGCACAGTTATGTGAACATTTAGATTCACAACTATTTATTATTTATTAGAATTAGAGTGAAAAACATATATTTCTTTACATTTTACGTCTTATCGCCCCGCCAGTATTCTAAAGTCAACAAATAAGTACAAATGTAGCAGCCTGAAGAGTGTGTGTGTGTGTGTGTGTGTGTGTGTGTGTGTGTGTGTGTGTGTGTGTGTGTGTGTGTTCTAGGTATGTGCTGAGGAGTTTAATGAGTTCGTGAGCGCCCTGAGAACAAAGTTCAGCTCCAGCTATGGTTCCAGTGATGTCGTCATTCCAGATACTAAAGAGGAGCTTTTTAACAAGTAACAAACACGGCCCAGAAACACAAACACGGTGTCATTAAAGTCGGGGTTACACTGTGCGATTTTAGTCTGGCCGAGTCTGAGCTGGTCGGCTCTAGTCTGCAGACTTTTGGGTCAGTCGGAGTCGACAGTTGGAGAGAGTCGAGTCATGTTTGAGGGACGCAGACTCAGATTTACTGCCTCCCGGTCGCGTTTCAGACCAGTCAGAGTTTATCAAACATATCTGATTTTTTCGACCCGACTCTGAGTGAAATGTAGTGTAAACTGTTCAACGACTCAATCTGAACAGACTCCTGCAACAGCCAATGAAGACTGAGAGCACTAAAGAAGAAAATACAGCAAGTAAACAAAGAAAAATGGTGAAAAGTCTCTCATGTGTGGAGATTTTTAATGAGCTGAGTTTAAGATGCAATCGATTTTATGTACTTTTGAAACTCTAAACACTCCATGTTTACCTGCTGCTTCTTTACTGTGTAGCATAAACGACAGAGAAAACAGCAGCAGCCGCTACATGTTTGTTTATTTGCGTTTCCTATTATTGGGAGAACGCGAAAGTTTGTGAGAGTTTGCGAGAGTTCGTGTGAGTTCACTGAGTGCCGTTCGGTTCAGCAGCAGCTTAAAAGCTAAAAGACGCTGAGTCTGTTATAATCTGTTCAGACTTTAAAAGTCGTGTAGGGAACCCAAACCTTAATTCATCAAAGCTCTGTTTGGATTATATTAGTCTATAAGGCTGCTTTGCGCTGGCCGTGGGTGTAATGCACTGGGGCCTCTGGCCATTTTTGTTAATGAGATTTCTTTATTTACCTTCCGCTCACCCACACATATACACCATGTGCAAAATATAGGGGGTCCTGAGGGGTCTGGGACCTTCTAATTAACCTCTTGGACCCCCTGAATGTCTCAAAATCAAAATCCTGAAAATAAACTTACGATGTTTTGCTGTCTGTAAAACTCTTGGACGGCAATAAAATGATTACATCACAAGCAAGTTTCTAGTGGGTTGTATTTTCTACAGACGTTCACGTCAGCAGTGGTCAAATAATAGAAAGCTAAAGACTGATCTGTCGAACACTGTTTACATCAGGCTGCTGAAGCATCACTAGACGAGCATGAGTGTCAGTAAATACAGTCGCCTCGGGATCCAAACACAGTTGTTTAAAAACACTGTTCTAAAATAATAGCAGTAATAATGGGATTTTTTTTTTTGCCAAATTGAACAGCGAAAGCAACATACTGGTAAAAAGCTAAGCTAAGTATGCAGGAGTTACTGGGGGGTGATTTCCATGAGTTTGATTGGACAGATTACACTAAAGATATCAGTGTCTGTGTTTACATGCAAAGATTTTCTCCAATCTGATTAAATACATTCTGATTACAGGTTAAGACTGAGGTGTTTATTCTCACTCTACTCAACAATCTGATGGAAAATCTCTGTTTACATGCTCACTGCCGCTTAGTGTAGACGTTACCATGACAACCAGCATCACGTGAGTCCAGTCAGAGTGAGATGAGCAGCAGTGAGCAGCGCTTGTGTTTTTAATCCCTTTAAAATGATGTCAGACTCAGGAAAACGTCCTTCACATGTCCTTATTAAAGAAGGCCGAGAGGAAGACGTCTTGTTCTGAGACACATAAGCTGGACGTCCGTCCCACCGCCGTCTTTTAAAGATCAGAGCATAAACTTCGTCTCCTCTGCAGACCAGTTTCTGCTCCGCCATGTTGAACAGTATAAACTTTCACTATGACGCGACGAACATGATCAGAACGGACTTAAACTTTCCGATAGGGAATGTAATCAGATACAGGCGTTTACACAGATATTACTCTTCTATTTAAAGGATTATTTACAAGATTACCCACCTCGATCAATCGGAACTGTATTCTGAACGGCCTCAATCAGACTAGACTATTCTGTATAGAATGGGGACGTATTTCACTCCGATTGAGCTATTAGTCGGATTATTAACTGATTGTTGGGCTGCATGTAAACGTGGCTACTGACGAATGACACAGCTTTGATGAATAAGTGCCAATATGTAATATAAAGGAAGCTGTAATTAAACAGATCTGTTCTAATTTGTCTGTCCATTCCAGGTTTAAAGTGTACGTTATCGGGGAAGAACCAGCGCCGAGAACCAAGGATGTGCTCAGCAGGTAGAGTGTGTTAGACAGGCTTTACATGGAGAAACGGAAAATATTTACATGGAAGAACGTTAATTAAGATCGACTTACCGTTTACACAAAGCATTTCACATTAGCGAGATTAGTAGCTTAACTTTCCATATTTTGTTCTATCTGTATGAATATCTGTGGTGTGTTATTTATTCTATGGTTGCATCTTTGAATCAGTAGAGAGGAAAATTAATAACTAACACTGAACAGCAAGCATTCAAGCAGCTGTTCAAACAGCTGTCTTGCTAATGTTAGCTAGCAAGCTAAATAGCTAATTAAGTGGCAATTAAGCAACATTATTCCGTTTTCTGTTTTATTTTCTTGTCCATGGTGTGCCAATCGAAATTATGTGGTTTGGCCTGATCATGTACAATATCAGTGCTCTGATTGGCTGTTTCACACGGTTTCGAGCAAGTTTCAAGTGATTTGCATGAGACTTTACATTATTCAGTGAAATGTAGTTTAAATTTCAAGCAGCTGAGTTTAACCACATAAAGCCAAGCTAAGAGTTTTACAGTCATTGCATTATTACTGACTATTAAGTTTAGTGGAGTAAACAGAATTACAGATAATATTGTTTTTATGCTGAGGGAGATCTGTAAGTCATTCTGCTAAAGGAATAAACGTTACTCTAAATGTTGAGTTCGGTAATGAAGGAAAACGGTAAACGTTTATTTAATTGTATTGATGTGAAAATGATTAATATACACTCAATTAAAACGAACTAGAACGTTTGTTGAGAGTGTGTGTTGGAGGACGTGTAGACGATTATGTTTGTTTGTTTGTTTGTTTGTTTGTTTGTTTGTTGTATGTTCAGCGTGGAGGATATTCACTCTCTGGTGCTGAATAATTTGATCCAGAGCACCCTCGTCCTCTCCAACTCACAGATGAAGACCTGCCAGTCCTTTCAGGTGCTTCTTTTGTTGTGGAACAAATTAATATTGTAGTTTTTAATGTACCTTTTTATCAAAAATCATAATCTATAGCTGTATTCTGTATGCATGTGTGTATGTGCAAGCAGTTGCGTGCAAGAGGGGCTAAGATTTTCACTCACCTTCACACCTGTGTAAATGTGATGTGACAATAAACGTAATTTGGATATGAATTTGGGGAAAAACTCTTCTGGTCAGATTGTTAACACACCCCCAGCATGTTTTAGTGCACAGTTTCTATTTATTTGCCAAGTTTAACATATTGGAAAAGAATTAAACATAAAATATGATGTCATAATGTCAATAAACGTAATATTTAATGCTCTAAGTTTTGCACTATAAATATGCGATGCCACTCAAAAATGATTAGATATAACACGTAGACAGTATTTGAGCAAAGGCAGTAGCTGTTTGAATAAGGACACACAAGCTCACTTGCTGTGACTGTAACACTTACGTTTGAACAGTAACATTGTTTCCTTCCTAATTTCATGGCGAATTTTAGCATTAGTCTCAATCTAGGATTGTGATTTTATTTCCAAATATCTTATGGAAGCGCTGATTTTTATTTATAGTTTGCATTATAAAATATTTCTGCCTTTATTTTTATTTCTTCCTCTCTCGCTCTGTTAGTCCTTCTCTCTCTACAGTAGATATAACTCCGAGGTGCTGCAGCAGGCCTTCCTGAACTGCAAGAAACGTGGACTGGTGAACCGGCGTCGGGCCAACAAGGTCCTCGGCCCGAAGAAGAGCAGAGCCGTCCCCTTTGTGCCCATGTCCTATCAGCTCTCTCAGCACTACTACAGGTACCATCAGCTCTCTCAGCACTACTACAGGTACCATCAGCTCTCTCAGCACTACTACAGGTACCATCAGCTCTCTCAGCACTACTACAGGTACCATCAGCTCTCTCAGTACTACTACAGGTACTACTGTCCTATCACCTCTCTCAGCACTACTACAGGTACCATCAGCTCTCTCAGTACTACTACAGGTACTACTGTCCTATCAGCTCTCTCAGCACTACTACAGGTACTATCAGCTCTCTCAGCACTACTACAGGTACTATCAGCTCTCTCAGTACTACTACAGGTACTTTTAGCTCTCTCAGTACTACTACAGGTACTACTGTCCTATCAGCTCTCTCAGCACTACTACAGGTACCATCAGCTCTCTCAGCACTACTACGGGTACCATCAGCTCTCTCAGCACTACTACAGGTATTGTCAGCTCTCTCAGCACTACTACAGGTACTATCAGCTCTCTCAGCACTACTACAGGTACTATCAGCTCTCTCAGCACTACTACAGGTACCATCAGCTCTCTCAGTACTACTACAGGTACCATCAGCTCTCTCAGCACTACTACAGGTACTATCAGCTCTCTCAGTACTACTACAGGTACTACTGTCCTATCAGCTCTCTCAGTACTACTACAGGTACTACTGTCCTATCAGCTCTCTCAGCACCACTACAGGTACCATCAGCTCTCTCAGTACTACTACAGGTACTACTGTCCTCTCAGCTCTCTCAGTACTACTACAGGTACTACTGTCCTATCAGCTCTCTCAGCACCACTACAGGTACCATCAGCTCTCTCAGTACTACTACAGGTACTACTGTCCTATCAGCTCTCTCAGCACTACTACAGGTACTATCAGCTCTCTCAGCACTACTACAGGTACTATCAGCTCTCTCAGTACTACTACAGGTACTACTGTCCTATCAGCTCTCTCAGCACTACTACAGGTACCATCAGCTCTCTCAGCACTACTACAGGTACTATCAGCTCTCTCAGCACTACTACAGGTATGTCAGCTCTCTCAGCACTACTACAGGTACTATCAGCTCTCTCAGTACTACTACAGGTACTATCAGCTCTCTCAGCACTGCTACAGGTACTATCAGCTCTCTCAGCACTACTACAGGTACTATCAGCTCTCTCAGTACTACTACAGGTACTATCAGCTCTCTCAGCACTACTACAGGTACCATCAGCTCTCTCAGCACTACTACAGGTACTATCAGCTCTCTCAGTACTACTACAGGTACTATCAGCTCTCTCAGTACTACTACAGGTACTACTGTCCTATCAGCTCTCTCAGCACTACTACAGGTACTACTGTCCTATCAGCTCTCTCAGTACTACTACAGGTACTACTGTCCTATCAGCTCTCTCAGCACCACTACAGGTACCATCAGCTCTCTCAGTACTACTACAGGTACTACTGTCCTATCAGCTCTCTCAGCACTACTACAGGTACTATCAGCTCTCTCAGCACTACTACAGGTACTATCAGCTCTCTCAGTACTACTACAGGTACTACTGTCCTATCAGCTCTCTCAGCACTACTACAGGTACCATCAGCTCTCTCAGCACTACTACAGGTACTATCAGCTCTCTCAGCACTACTACAGGTATTGTCAGCTCTCTCAGCACTACTACAGGTACTATCAGCTCTCTCAGTACTACTACAGGTACTATCAGCTCTCTCAGCACTGCTACAGGTACTATCAGCTCTCTCAGCACTACTACAGGTACTATCAGCTCTCTCAGTACTACTACAGGTACTATCAGCTCTCTCAGCACTACTACAGGTACCATCAGCTCTCTCAGCACTACTACAGGTACTATCAGCTCTCTCAGCACTACTACAGGTACTATCAGCTCTCTCAGTACTACTACAGGTACCATCAGCTCTCTCAGTACTACTACAGGTACTACTGTCCTATCAGCTCTCTCAGCACTACTACAGGTACCATCAGCTCTCTCAGCACTACTACAGGTACTACTGTCCTATCAGCTCTCTCAGTACTACTACAGTACTACTGTCCTATCAGCTCTCTCAGCACCACTACAGGTACTCCAGTGTGTTTCCACTCTTGATCTTCTTACTCCTCAAAACATGCTTTGCACTCACTCAGCCCTGCATTCATAAATCTACTGAATGTCCCCATTACAGAGCTACAAACTATAGGGGAACCTATTTGTGCTATTTAAGTAATCCACAGAGAATCTTCAAGGCGTTTACGGGGAGCTTGGTTTACGGGTGATCTGTGAGGGATCTTGGGGAATCTACAGGTGGTCTGTGGGAATGTATAGATCATTAATGGGGTATACAGTGTTCTGTGTAAGATACCAGGGAATATATTGAAAATCTGGGGATCTCATGAGAGTCATATGGAGAACCTATGAGAGAGCTACATGAGATATGTAGGTTGATCCCCCAGAGATTTTATATTGTCTGGAGCTTTGTATTTGGGACACTAAGTTGCTTTAGAGGCGCAATCCCAAGTGAGTGCCCAATGCTTTTTCGAGGGACAGGAGTTGCAAGTGATCTGTCAGGGTTTTGTTGATCTGGAGGGTGATTTATGAGGAATCAGCAGGGGTTTTGTTGGTGATCTATCTGTTGATGTGTTGGGAATCCATTCTTTTTATCCTACCCATCAGATCTGTGAGGGGTTTGCAGGTGATCTGTGAGTGATGTCTTGGGAATCTCTGGGGGATCTGTTGGGGAGTTGTGGGGTTTCTCAAGTGACCTGATGATGATCTTTTGGGAACGTGCAAGTCATATATGGGTAATCTAAGGGAGCTGTGGTGGTTCTTTGGGTGATCCATGGAGGATTGATAAGTGGGGGATATATTGAGGATCTGTGGGGGATATATGAGTGATATTTGGATGATCTGCGGAAGATGTAAGGATGATATGGATGACCTGCAGATGATCTATGGGGGTGTTTGGAATCTGTGGGGTTTTGTGGATAATCAGTCTGTTGCATCTTTTGGGATCTGTTCTGTGGGTGATCTCTGGAGAAGCTAACGAAGATCTGAAGGTGATGCATGGCTGATCTGTGGGATTGGTGATGATCTGTGGACAATCTTAAGGATGGTACAAGGAAATTGCTCACACGTTCTTGCTTGCTGGTCTGTACATTTGATAGTAACTTGAGCTTTCTCCTTTCAGGTATTTCACATGGCGTTTCCCGAGTACAGTGTACAATGAGGTTTACGACTTGCTAGAGGTTCTGCGTCAGAAAGTCGGAGTGGATCGGCCCAACACCTTCTCCTTCCAGCAAGATAAGGAGAAGGAGGGGCAGAAGGATGTAGAAGAGAAGGAAGAGGAGAGAGTAAATGAAGAGAGTGAGAAAGCAGAGGAGAGGAATGATCGACTAGAAAAGGCTGAGGGACCAGGGGCTGGAGTGGAAAGACAACAGCAAGAGGTTCCTGGTGTAGACCCCATCACACTCCCTGGAGATGTGGAGCATCCTGCTGTAGACCCTAAAGAGTCCCCTGGAGATGTGGAGCATCCTGCTGTAGACCCTAAAGAGTCCCCTGGACATGTGGAGCATCCTGCTGTAGACCCTAAAGAGTCCCCTGGAGATGTGGAGCATCCTGCTGTAGACCCTAAAGAGTCCCCTGGAGATGTGGAGCATCCTGCTGTAGACCCTAAAGAGTCCCTTGGAGATGTGGACGATCCTGCTGTAGACCCAGAATCTCCCCCTGGTGGTGAGGATTCTACTGTAGACCCTGCATTACCTTCTGGTAATTTAAGGGAACCTGTGCTAGACCCTCTAGCACCTCCTGGTGATGTGGAGGATTCTACAGTAGACTCTCTAGTGCCCCCAACTGATGTGGAGGATATGCTAACATTTCCCATTGATGCTCCAGGAGGGGCATCGCTCTGCTGCCTCTCACTCATGACTCTGGGGCTGCTTACCGTGGACGTGTCAATACCACAGCAGGTCGTGGTGGTGGACAGTACACTGGTGGACAATGACGTTGTCAAGAGGTAATGCATGTATTTTGGGAAGAATACATAATAAATATGAAGTTATTTTATATTAAATAAAATATACTACACTAATTTATCATCATTTTTTGGAGCATTTAGTCATTATTATTTACAGCTTTCTACTAATTATTTGAGGAACAGAACCAGGACACTGAATTTGTTCTATACATTAATCTGAATTTTACATTTACGGCATTTGGTAGACACTTTTGTCCAGAGTGACTTGATCATTTCACAGAGGTAGGTGAAGGTAGTGTTAGGAGTCTTGCCCAAGGACTCTTATTGGTATAGTGTAGGGTTCTGACCAAGGTGGGGGATTGAACCCCAGTCTACAGCGTAGAAGGCAGAGGTGTTACCCACACTACACTACACCAACCTCAATATTATCTTGATGTTGTGTATGTGTCCCAGTATCACTAAAGAGCTGGATGAGGAGGAGGAGGATGAAGTAGATGATGAAAGGAGAGGACGTTTTGAGGTGAAAGCTCGCCAGGCCTCCCACACCAACTACCTGCTGATGAGAGGATACTTCGTCCCGGGCATCATCAGTTTGAGGAACATGAACTCCACTGACCACATTGCAGTCAACTCCTGCACTGTTAAGATACAGCTACGACGTACGCCTGCACACACGCTCTTCAGAGAGGCCGGTAAGACACCACCTATGAACCAGGCCTGGGCGATAAAACGCAATTATTCTAAATGATTTGTAGGAATCAATGATGGATATTTAAGGTATTTTTGATGGAATGATGATGCCATTGTGCTCGTCCATTCGTTATTAGCAGTGAAGGCTTGACATTTGAACAGTCAGTGCTTCCATACATGAGGTGGCGCTGTGGTTTTTATTCTGTAGATAGAGAAGGAGAAGGACGTCTAATCTAAATCCCCATAGACTCCGTTCTTAAAGACTTTAGATGTTCATGAAAAGGGTTTTTCTATTGTGCACAAGCTTGAAATTGTAACAATAGAAGATTTTCAAAAAGTTTCTGTATAGAACCAAATATAACATATTCCTTAAGAATCTGAAGACCGATTTCACCATGCAAAGAACCGTTTAAGCATGCAAATGGTTCTTCGAGTTTTCATGGTTCTACATAGAATGATTGCCTTTGCTGAAAAAAAACCCTTAAAGAACCATTTTTAAGAGTGTACATCACTCTGGACTTTCTCGGTAAATCCACTGATTTTCTAAATTTTTTCCATAACTCAGTGTTTGAGATGTAATCAGAGAGATTCAGAGCAGTTTGATGTGAAATGGTTCAGATGTCTTCACAGTGGTGGTGATAGGAACCAGGGGTCGCCATGACTACAACACAAATATAGACATTTTATTTACTATCCAGAACCACCAGTGAACCTACACGAGTCTTCTGAGTTTATATGGAATGTTGATGATGAAAATAGTGGAAAATCTGAAATATTAAGTTTTCTTTGGGGACTATTTTGCCTCACAGCGCCCTGCATGTATCCCTCCACCATGAATGGAGTTTAAGTTCTCTAAACTATCATAAAACAGTGTCTCAGTCATCAGGCAGTGAATTCATAACCATTTCATGTAGGAACTTTCTGTGAGGGAGCTTTTAGAGGTGGACGTCTGGTTCCTATCACCACCACTGTGAACAGTTCTGACTCGGTAAGTTTCTCTAGAACGGAGCGTTTCACACCAAACTACTCTGAACCACTCTGATTACATCTTAACCACTTAATTATGCAAGAATTTTGATTCATTCCCTTTAAAGATAACACGTGGTATAGATTTCTTTTTTTTTTACATAAAAACAAATTTATTACAGAAAACAAACATTTTTGTGATGCCAGCGTTCCCATAAGAAGACGCACCCTTTTCTAGCTAACATACTGATAAAACAGATGTGATACAGTAACTTATGCAATACATAAAATACAATAAACAAATGTAATCTTTTTTTCTTTTTTTTGTATTTAAATTCAGATTGATATTAGTCATATTCAAGAACTGTTGCTAGAGCAAATAAAGTAACGTTTAAAACTAATATCTAATAATATCTCTCTCTCTCTCTCTCTCTCTGTCTCTCTCTCTCTCTCTCTCTCTCTCTCTCTCTCTCTCTCTCAGACGGTGCTCTCTCCGTGGTGACTCGCTTGTCCGTTCCTTCAGTCCCGGCGTCGCTCTCGCGGGTGTTTAAGCAGCGGAGCAGTGCAAGTGAGCAGAGTTTTGTGGATAAGTTTGTGCGCTCGTTGGGTTACAGCAATGTGGACGTGGAGGCAGTTCAGGCCCTCAGAACTGCCGTGCAGAAGGAGGCGGAGTTTGGTATTGACAGGTTGGAGCTGAGCAGGACGTTCTCTCACCTGGAACAGGTGGAGCACGGCAGGAGCAGAACACTACAGCAGTACATACAGGTACAGTAACACTACAGCAGTACATACAGGTACAATAACACTACAGCAGCACATACAGATACAATAACACTACAGCAGCACATACAGATACAGTAACACTACAGCAGCTCATACAGGTACAGTAACACTACAGCAGCTCATACAGGTACAACAACACTACAGCAGCACATACAGGTACAATAACACTACAGCAGCTCATACAGGTACAACAACACTACAGCAGCACATACAGGTACAATAACACTACAGCAGCTCATACAGGCACAACAACACTACAGCAGCTCATACAGGTACAATAACACTACAGCAGCTCATACAGGCACAACAACACTACAGCAGCTCATACAGGTACAATAACACTACAGCAGCACATACAGGTACAATAACACTACAGCAGCTCATACAGGTACAATAACACTACAGCAGCACATACAGGTACAATAACGCTACAGCAGCACATACAGGTACAATAACGCTACAGCAGCTCATACAGGTACAATAACACTACAGCAGCACATACAGGTACAATAACGCTACAGCAGCTCATACAGGTACAATAACGCTACAGCAGCACATACAGGTACAATAACACTACAGCAGCTCATACAGATACAATAACACTACAGCAGCTCATACAGGTACAATAACACTACAGCAGCACATACAGGTACAATAACGCTACAGCAGCTCATACAGGTACAATAACACTACAGCAGCTCATACAGGTACAATAACACTACAGCAGCACATACAGATACAATAACACTACAGCAGCTCATACAGGTACAATAACACTACAGCAGCTCATACAGAGAGAATTAGGCCTAGAATCATAATGAATTTCTATAGAAATGATGGTCATACAGGTGGTCTTTGGTGATTCCACATGGATTGACCTGTGTATTTTCTGTAGGATCTGATAGACGCTGAGGAGCTGCTGGAGGTGGGAGCTCTCTCCCCGCGGTTGATTTATGTGGACTCTGGCGCCCCCTGGCTGCTGCAGTGCCCGACGCAGGTGTGTGATGAGCTGGTCCAGGCTTTCTCCATCCCGGAATCCCTGAAACGCAGGCTGGGATTCTCCCGCCCTCAGCTGGACCCCCACGGACCCCCTGCGGCCAAGAGACCCCGACGGGCCATGAAGACAGGCACTGTCAAATCTGCTGCCGTGGAGACCAGTACTGTCACGTCTGTTACCATTGAGTCAGCCTCCTCTGCCTCGGCCAAGACTGCTGCCTCAGAGACCATTGAGCCTGGGCCAGTTACCATGGAGATCTCCACAGTCAAGTCGGCTGCTGTGGAAACTATTCCACCTGAGACCACACCTGGGCTGGTCGCCATGGAGACATCTTCAGTCACAGAAGCCATTGCACCTGCAGGGGAGTGTAGTGCTGAAAAAGTAGGAGGGGCTAGAAGTCTTCCTCCAGACCCGCCCTCCTCAGAAGCAGGACTGTGTGATGATGAAGGTTCTAGATCGAATGACAGTTCCCAAAATACAACACAGCCTCCAGCTGCAGGTGGGTGTGTCGCTGAAGCCCTGTTGGAGCTGGATTAGTTTTCCCAGAGGAGTCCTTTAATGTCGTTCTTTGATGCAAAGGGTTCTTTGAGTGTTCATGGTTCTATATAGAACATTTTTCTTTACTAAAGAACTCTTGAGGAACCGTCTTTTTAAGAGTGTAGATTATCTTGTTTTGGCCTTGCAGATACAGAAGCTGTGCCACTAGCTGTGCACTCTTTTAGCGGTTAGACTCGTCTTCCGGTCACTGAAAAGGAAGTTGTCTGTTGGCCGTTTATTACATCAGCGTGAGTTTGATTTGAGTAGCACTGCTGCTACTGATGGAGTTCAGAGTTCAGCAAATTTTAGATGATTTGCTTCATAATTATTGCTCATAAAACTATGGACAGTACAGATTCATACTGGATTATAATCGCAGATCCCATCAGTCACTCAAATTACAGGGAAAACAAGTCCAGCTACAGTAGGGATTAATATGGAGTTACAGGATTTTGTTCTGAAATGCATCATAGAGCACTGATATACATTTTTGGGGTGGGTTACTCACATACAAGAAATTTTGGTGCCACATTATGATCAAAAACACAGTTATTAGAGAAACTAAATGCGTTTCCATTATACATCAGCTGCTCTTTTCAAAAACGTGTTAGAAACTGTTAGAAATGAATATATACGCTTTTTTGGTGACCAATAGTTTTTATTTATTTTATCTGGGAGAAACAGCAAACATTACAGAACTATTTACATTACCAGGGCCTGCCATAAGTGGAGAGATAATAATAATAATAATAATAATAATAACAAAAAAATATTGTTTACAAAGCTCAAATACGTCTACAATATATAAGAGGAATGATGAGGTTTGATGACCTAAAGTAGGCGTGTCAAACTGGAGGCCTTCTGGGCTGAAGTGCTGCAGAAATCAGTGGTTCCCCTCATCTAACGCTCTGAGTTCAGTTCATGAAAGTCCCGCTGGTTACCTGATGAGCTGAGCCAGGTGTGTTTTAATGAGGCAGTGAGCTGAAGTCTGCAGAGTTTTGGGCCGCGAGGACTGGAGTCTGACACACATGACCTAAACAGTAGAACCGCTTCGTTTTGACTTCACTGGTTTTGCAGGGTGCAAAGTAGAGTCTGTGTTTGTGTTTATGTTCTAATGCCTTTCTTCATTTGTGCTGCAGGTGAAGGAGGGGATGTGAGGAGTTCTGAAGAGGAAGAGTGAGTCTAGTTTCATGTTACAGCCTCTAATGCACTGATAAAGGGGTTTAATATGCTGTGATTCCTAACGCTAACACTGTAATGTGGAACTGACAGGCAGTGCTGAACCGAGAGTACTGTATTAGAGCTAGGCCTTCAGTTTAGGCCATAAAACTACCTCTGCAAAAGTTTTAGCACCCCTGGCTAAATTATATATTTTGTTGCTTTTTGATCTGGTAAAAAAATAGGAAACACAACTTTTGCAGCTAAGTATTTAGAAAATAACATTTTTATGCACAGTTACTTTGTTTTGATTAAATTAGAAATAAAAATTGAAACAAAATTTATTAAAAAGTAGACATTCCATGTGTTTTATCTGAATCTTGTATCAGACATTATCATATATCTGAGCTTGTATGTATCAGTTTTACAGTGACTCTTTCAGTAAAGAGTTCCGACATGGAGCTGCCACTGCTGTTTAACATTCCTAACAACTAACCAGAACACTGCCTAGACCATGCTGTCAGTGTCATATCTAGAACTTCCAGAAGGACTAGAATGACCTCTTTCTCACCACCCATTGTAATTCAAAGCGTGAGTGGTTGATTCCATGATTGGATGATTTTCTGTTTTAACATTTTAATGTTTTTGTTTCCATTTTTGTTCCACAACTCTCCCAATTCTCTCTCTCTGTCTCTCTGTCTCTGTCTCTCTCTCTCTCTCTCTGTCTGTCTCTCTCTCTCTCTCTCTCTCTCTCTCTCTGTCTCTCTCTCTGTCTCTCTCTCTGTCTGTCTCTCTCTCTCTCTGTTTCTCAGGGTGTTGAGCTTTGTGGCTCGGCCGTGGCGCATCGTGGACGGCTCTCTGAACCGGCCGGTCTGTAAAGGCATGCTGGAGGCTTTACTGTTGCATATCATGACAAACCCAGGCATTCCTGAACCTGCACTGCTGCAGCACTACAGCGGAGTCCTGCAGCCTGTGATCGTCCTCGACCTGCTACAGGTAAGACCACCTGACCAGAGCTCTCAGCTCACCTGATAAACCTGATCACCTGCATCAACCAGACATATGATAAACCCCCTCACCTGCCCAAAGAACCCCCTGTCAAAAACTTACCTGCCAAACCCAGTCAGCTTGTAGTCACCTCAGAACCTAATCAGCTGGTACCCACCTGACACCCAGTGAACTAGTACTCACCTCAGAACCTAATCAGCTGGTACCCACCTGACACCCAGTGAACTAGTACTCACCTCAGAACCCAATCAGCTAGTACTCACCTCAGAACCCAATCAGCTGGTACTCACCTCAGAACCTGTTGACTTGGTACTCACCTGAGAACTCAATCAGCTAGTTCTCACCTTAGAACCCAAACAGCTATTTCTCACCTGAGAACCCAATCAGCTGGTGATCACCTGAGAACGCAAACAGCTGGTATTCACCTGAGAACCCAAACAGCTATTTCTCACCTGAGAACCTAATCAGCTGGTACGGCTCCTTCCAAACCCTACAGAATCACTTCTTCCTCCTCTGATTGTGCTATTCCTCTTCCAAACCCCTCACCTGCCTCTGATCTGTCAAACCCAGTCAGCCATCACTCACCTGCCGCTCACCTGTACTTACCTGTCAGACACCAGTGTCCTCAGAGATGCGTCTTCAGATGTGCTGAACCTGCCCGTGTTCTTGTGTTTCAGGTTCTGATGGAGTTGGGATGCGTGAAAAAGCGCTTTACTCTGAATCGGCCCAAAGCCTCTCTGTTCTCTCGGCCCAGCGTCCCTGAGGTCAGAGGTCGGGGAGAGTTCGGCGTCGTGGAGGACGTGGTGGCCTTTTACGAGCCCACGGTGGACTGCAGTCTGAGACTGGCTCAGATGTTCCCTCACGAAACCAACTGGAACAAATGGGTGCAGCTCTGTGTGCGATAAACGCACCCGAATATCGTTTATTTTTATAAGTTATTTTCATGTTTGCTTGTTTGTGTTTATGTTTGCTGTTGTGGCACAAAACTAATAAAGACTAATTTTATTTACATGTGTGTGGAAGCCAAACAATCAGCCGCACAGTTTTTGTGTAATTATCTTTAGTTTAATAAATTATTGCACAAAAAGCAAACCGACAAACAAAAATTCACAAATCAGTCTTTGTTTCCCAAACAGCTTAGAGTTCAGCTGAGATTCATGACATTCAGTCACAACGTACAGTACATTCTGATTTAAAGCTCTTCAGTGCTTACAGACGAGTCCAGTTAGTCCAGTTAACTCAAACATTCATTCCGTACAAACGTCCACTCTCCTGTACAAAAATAGCTCGAAGGTAACTTCACATTGCATTAGGTTTCAGGCAGCTCAGAAAATGCCCAGATACAGACCGACGGGTCCAGAAGACGTGTGCTTGTTCTTTCAGTAGCCCTCAGACTGTTTAATTAAACAATTAATCAATCAACAAAGTTTGTTAAAAACGTGTCTAGTTGTGTAGTGAGTTTGATTTCTAACATTATTGTGCTACGCTGTGCTTTTGTTTTCTGTTAAACTTCATTTTAGCCCTTAGTGGTACATTTGCATAATTAACAATTTGTATAAATAAATATTCATTACCTGTATGGCTTAAAGATCCACCAACATACAACAATACAATACAAAACATGCAGACATCACACTATATAAGAGTCCACCTCAGTGTTTCTACACTCACTGTCCACTTTATCAGCTCCACTGACCGTATAGTTTCACTCTGCAGTTCTACAGTTACAGACTGTAGTCCATCTGTTTCTCTGATACTTTGTTAGCCCCCTTTTACCCTGTTCTTCAGTGGTCAGGACCCCCATGGACCCTCACAGAGCAGGTACTATTTGGGTGGTGGATCATTCTCAGCACTGCAGTAACACTGACGTGGTGGTGGTGTGTTAGTGTGTGTTGTGCTGGTCTGAGTGGATCAGACACAGCAGTGCTGCTGGAGTTTTTAAACACCTCAGTGTCACTGCTGGACTAAGAATAGTCCACCAACCAAAAATATCCAGCCAACAGCGTCCTGTGGGCAGCGTCCTGTGACCACTGATGAAGGACTAGAGGATGACCAACACAAACTGTGCAGCAGCAGATGAGCTATCGTCTCTGACTTTACATCTGCAAGGTGGACTGACAAGGTAAGAGTGTCTAATAGAGTGGACAGTGAGTGGACACAGTGTTTAAAACCCCAGCAGCACTGCTGTGTCTGATCCACTCGTACCAGCACAACACACACTAACACACCACCACCACGTCAGTGTTACTGCAGTGCTGAGAATGATCCACCACCCAAATAGTACCTGCTCTGTGAGGGTCCATGGGGGTCCTGACCACTGAAGAACAGGGTAACAAAGTACACAGAGAAACAGATGGACTACAGTCTGTAACTGTAGAACTACAGAGTGAAACTATATGAAGTTTCTGTTATACAGTCTCTATTTTTTGTGTTTAGATATGTAGAGATGCAGTTGAGGTCACTAGAACTACATTCTGGCCAAAGGTTACACATTTCAGTGAGTTTAAAATGAAAATGACACAAAAGCAGCATTAAACGTTTGGTAACTGTCCTCTTCGTGGAAGATGCTCCTGAAACGTGCATTACCCATGCGGACCCATAATGCATTGGGAAGCATAAGTGCTGTGTAATCATTAGCTACAGTACTGTAAGTTCTGAGTCATTAGTGCATTATTCTGTTTATTACTCATCCTAACGGGGTTGATATTCAGGACTTCTACAGCTTATTGCAGTGTTGTAGACTCGGGAAGTTTGTAAAACATGGATGTTCTCTATAAGATATTTCAATATTTAAAAATGAGCAGAATTCTTCGGTGAAGATGGATAATTTAACGAGCCCATATTCTATCTTCTGTTTTTCCCCCGAGGTTTGAACATTTTTGTGCCAAAAACAGTAGTAATTTCTGTTTAAATGACCATTTTCCAACATCTCTTTATCCCTTACAGTTAAACAGTCTGTTTATCTCACTGTGCCTTTGAGGCCTACATGTAAATGAGCTTATTCTGATTGGCTGCTCTGTTTTGTGACTCATTCAATACACAGTCTGGACTGAAACACTGCTTACAACTTGAATGGTGGAGCTAAACTGCTGTAGACTGAATGGGTGGAGCTAAACTGCTGTAGACTGAATGGGTGGGGCTAAACTGCTGTAGACTGAATGGTGGAGCTAAACTGCTGTAGCTGAATGGTGGAGCTAAACTGCTGTAGACTGAATGGGTGGGGCTAAACTGCTGTAGACTGAATGGTGGAGCTAAACTGCTGTAGCTGAATGGTGGAGCTAAACTGCTGTAGACTGAATGGTGGGGCTAAACTGCTGTAGACTGAATGGTGGAGCTAACTGCTGTAGACTGAATGGTGGAGCTAAACTGCTGTAGACTGAATGGGTGGGGCTAAACTGCTGTAGACTGAATGGTGGAGCTAAACTGCTGTAGACTGAATGGTGGAGCTAAACTGCTGTAGCTGAATGGTGGGGCTAAACTGCTGTAGACTGAATGGTGGAGCTAAACTGCTGTAGACTGAATGGTGGAGCTAAACTGCTGTAGACTGAATGGTGGGGCTAAACTGCTGTAGACTGAATGGTGGAGCTAAACTGCTGTAGACTGAATGGTGGGGCTAAACTGCTGTAGACTGAATGGTGGAGCTAAACTGCTATAGACTGAATGGTGGGGCTAAACTGCTGTAGGCTGAATGGTGGAGCTAAACTGCTGTAGACTGAATGGTGGAGCTAAACTGCTGTAGACTGAATGGTGGGGCTAAACTGCTGTAGCTGAATGGTGGAGCTAAACTGCTGTAGCTGAATGGTGGAGCTAAACTGCTGTAGACTGAATGGTGGGGCTAAACTGCTGTAGACTGAATGGTGGGGCTAAACTGCTGTAGCTGAATGGTGGAGCTAAACTGCTGTAGCTGAATGGTGGAGCTAAACTGCTGTAGACTGAATGGGTGGAGCTAAACTGCTGAAGGCTGAATGGGTGGAGCTAAACTGTGATATGGGCTCTTCAACTATCTAGATTAATGAGAAATCCTGCGTTTTGAAATATCTCCCAACTGTATTATTGTTTTCATGCTGATTTCAGTGCTGTTTATATCTGTTTACAGCTGTTTACAGCTGCTGGAGGTATTTGTAAACATGCAGTGCAGAATTCAGAGTTGTTTCTCAGTAGGAATCAAGTTAAAAGTGTGAAATTAGCCCTTTCGTGTGGTTTGTGCACCAGGTTGGTCACTGTGTGATTGTGTGTATGTTGTTATCTGGAAATGAAGGAGCTGCTGTGTGATTGGCTGGAGGAGGTAGTTCCACCGCTGAGCTGAGAGAACCCGCTGTGACACGACTCCAGACTCGTCATTGATCCCCTACACAAACACATTTATACAGTAACGCTATGTTATTATGTAATCCAGCTGCTTTTGATTTAGAAGTGGGTTTGTAGTCCTGAATTTATGCACAGAGGACTGAATGTACTAATTAAATATAAGTATGACAGCGTATAGCATAACAAAACCTCCAGATCAGTAACTTTACAGGGGAAACATTAATATAAAAATAGAATTGTTCCAAGTAAGTTTGGAGCATTTCTATTGGTCCATTCATCATAAAATAGTCGCACAATGTAAAGAGCAGCCACAGGTTTCAAATGTGATGTTTGCAACATGTAGTCGGCTACATTTAGTCTGGTATGACCTAAGTACAGAGTACGATACATGTAATGACAGTAAATGTAGGCTTGACATGAAATAAACATAGTTTGATATTATATAAACATAGTAAATGTAAGTATGGTGCTAAATAAATATGAAATGTGAGTATAATATTAAATGTTAACGTTAACTATGAAATTAAACGTAAGCATGATTTTAACTCGACTCACCTAAAGTCGTGAGAAGCCAGCAGCTCAGTGTAGTACATGAGCTTGCAGGTGTGGGCGGAGCCTGGGAGTGATGGAATGACATCATCTGCTTTGGAGGGGGCGGAGCCACAGGCTTTCCACTGCAGTATGTACAGGCCGGGCCATCGTGTGATGTGGGAACCCTAGAACACAGTTTAACAGTTACAGAAAGCGTTATTACAGTTTTCACATAGGCATAAACTAGAGCTGTAACTGGGCTTGAAATTTGGTCCAAACCTGAATGTAGCTCAAGAACCTTCTGGCCCCATCGTCACATTTCAAATCCGAACCCAAACTGAGCCCCATCATGAAGTTAAGAGTCCGAAACCAAACTGAGCCCCTTTGTCAGATTTCGAGTCAGAGCCGGAAATGGAGCTCTATCATCATGTTTTGAGTCTGATCCCAAGCCAAGCCCAATTTGACACATTTTGGGTCCGGACCAAAACTAAGCCCTATTGTCAGATTTCGAGTCCGAACCCAAATCGAACCCCATCATCACATTTCGAGTCCAAACCCAAACTGAGCCCCTTCTTCACATTTCGAGTCCAAACCAGAACCGAGCCCCATCGTCACATTTTGAGTCTGAACCTAAACTGAACCCTGTCATCGTGTTTCAACTCTGAATCCAAATTAAGCTCCACCATCATGTTTTAAGTCCGAACCCAAACCTGTACCTGTATTCTCTCTCTGCAGGTGAGTGTGTGTACCTGTATTCTCTCTCTGCAGGTGAGTGTGTGTACCTGTGTTCTCTCTCTGCAGGTGAGTGTGTTTACCTGTATTCTCTCCCTGTAGGTGAGTTTGTTTACCTGTATTCTCTCTGCAGGTGAGTTTGTTTACCTGTATTCTCTCCCTGTAGGTGGGTTTGTTTACCTGTATTCTCTCTGCAGGTGAGTTTGTTTACCTGTGTTCTCTCTCTGCAGGTGAGTGTGTTTACCTGTGTTCTCTCCCTGTAGGTGAGTGTGTTTACCTGTGTTCTCTCCCTGTAGGTGAGTTTGTTTACCTGTATTCTCTCTGCAGGTGAGTGTGTGTACCTGTATTCTCTCCCTGTAGGTGAGTTTGTTTACCTGTATTCTCTCTGCAGGTGAGTGTGTGTACCTGTATTCTCTCTCTACAGGTGAGTGTGTGTACCTGTATTCTCTCTCTGCAGGTGAGTGTGTTTACCTGTATTTTCTCTCTTCAGGTGAGTGTGTACCTGTATTCTCTCTCTGCAGGTGAGTGTGTGTACCTGTATACTCTCTCCCTCTCTGCAGGTAAGAGGTGACTCCACCATGCTGTAGTCCACTCCCAAAGTCCAGCTCCTGTCTATTAGCTGCACGTTATTCAGCTCAGGCAGCGCTGTGGACGTTTCTTTCCTCAGAGGTTGTGGGGTCCTTTTGGAGTGGAAGATATTGAACACAATGTCGCCTCTCAGGATGTCAAAGTCCCATGTGATTACCGATGATTCTTCCACCACCTCGATCATCACCTGCAAGATGTTCACAGGTGAGTCAGTCAAGAATTTGAACATCTAGCAACAACTTGCTTCCATTTCAACCCACTAACAATTTTGAACAGAGCCCCAATTTCTCAAAGCCCCAACAATCTTCAATTCCAGACCTTAAATCCAGTTTCCTTTCCTGGAATTTGTAATTACAGGTAGACACCAGGTGGCCAATCAGGTACATCAACAGTTCAGGTATTTACCAATGATTACATAATTTAGGAACAGAGACTGGATTCAAGGTCTGGAGTTGAAGACCTCCAATTTGGTGTGCAGATTCCTGACTTTTTCCATAGTTACCTCAGGAGGTTCCCATTTAAAAACTCTCACAATCTACTCTCTTAAGTCTCGTGCTGGTTGGTTCCATGTTCACCTCATTAGGTACCTGTTTTAAAATGCTTTCTAACTGGGCATTTCAATGAGAAACCCATTTAAAACCATTGCTGATTGGTCGATTTCATGCAGTCATAAGAAGAATATGCAGTAGCCCATGATCAATGAATGTAATGCGGAACAAAATTTCACAAGTGCGAATTCCACCCGGAAACCTTAAGCCATAAGCCTTTAGCAAGTTAGCAACATGCCATGCTAAGCTTAGCTCAAGCTGATTGGCGCCAGACTGAGTCAGTCACACTGGCGAGAGCAAAGGACACAAAGGAGCTTCTACTTTCAAAACAGCTGTGTGGGATAAATTTTGGGTTCATAGTAAACTACAACTGCGATGGAGATGCCACCTGGCTGTACCTGCTGTCCCTCCCTAGTAGCCATGGTATTTTCCTCTGTCTGTTCTTTGGGTAGGTTGGGCCTAAGCTTTGAATGTTTAAATATAACCTAAGTGGAAGAAACATTCCTCCTAATTCACAAATTTTAAATTTATGATTTTTTTTTTACATTATTTTTATTTGTGGGTCTATGCAGATACAGGATTACAGACACTTATGTGTTCCACATTTTACATAAATTAATAATAATAATAAAATAAAAAAATACTTACATAAATATATATTCTCATAGTGATGAGTAGGTCAGGAAATACTTGTACCTTGTACATAATTTGACTTAATTAGGAACAAAACAGATATATACAAAATACATACAGGGTCATATCACTGTACTTTCAGATATTGGGAAAGTAATTATTTAAGCTAAAGAGTAACCTCTACCTAGAAGAAGAGGGGGAGGGGTGCTAATTACTTGGGAGACTTTTCAGCTTCTCAAAATATGCAATCATGGGATCCCAAGTTCTATGGAATTTTACAGAAGCCTTTCTAGAGGAAAACTTAATCTTTTCTAATTTAAGGAAAAGCATAAGAGCGCAGAGCCACTGTGAGGACTTCGGTGGATATGGAGACTTCCAATTAATCAATATCCTCCTTCTTGCCAGAAGGGATGCAAAGGCCAAGGCCTCCTTAATCCTATTTGGAATTTTTGAATCTGTTCATAGCTGATTTCCAAGTTTCTTCAGGTATAGTCAGACCCAACTCTTCGACAAGAAACTGTAACTTTCAGTGATGTCTGTTCAAAATAAATGAGAAGAAACCTAGCCTTCTGTATCTGGGGCTTTTCGCTGCTTTTTTCCTGTTTTACCGAACTCGTACCGAACCATGATGTCCAAACTGAGGTGTGAACTGAACCATGACTTCTGTGTACCGTTGCACCTCTACTCAGTTCTACTTTTACCTCATGAGGTGCTCCTTTGAAGACCTGAGCTGATTGGTAGATGGTATCTGTCCACAGGCGGATGTGGTCAGCGCTCTCCAGCTCCACTTCTGTCTGGTAGTATGACTTTGGCACCTGCCCTCCTTCTGGCACTTCGCACTGAGCGGGCAAATATCAAAAGGTCAAACCTTCCTGGAAAGTATTTTGTCTTTTTAAAATGAAAACCCAGATGTTTCAGTTTGAGGTTGTCACTCAGACGTAGTCCAGCTGTGAGAACCTCAGCTGTCTTTACTGTCTCAGTTTTATTTTTGCTTTGTTTTTACTTTTAGTGATGATAAGTACTAAACAATAAGGGTAGGGTTTGTATACTTTTTCCTTTAGTGAGGTACAACATTTGTTCAGTAAAGCTATAGCATGTAATGTTGTTTTGAAATATATATTGCATTTAAATATATTAATTGTTTTACTAATTATAAATTGTTCATTATTATTACTTTCACTAGAAAGCTTATGCACGATTACTTTACACTTTATCAGTAAAGTGCTTTGGAGTTTATTTATTTATTCATTTACTCATCCATCAATCGCACTGTAATTGTGGTTTAAACAGCTTGATGTAAACAGGGAAAGCCAACTGTACCAGACAGTCTCCACCCAAAAAGTCTGGGATGATCTCAGAGTGGATGTAGTCCACCAGCCCTCCAGAGCCCAGATAGTTAGAGCCGCTGTACACCAGGAACTTCTGACGGGTGTTCTCATTGATAAAGGGACTCACCTGCAGCGAGAAAGAGACAAGTACACATCGGAATAACTTATATCTTCGGTTTTGGTAACTGTTGGCCAATCATTTACAACAACAGTTCAACTTTGTTTCTCTCTCTTTGTGATAGTCCAGCTCAGAAATCCAGTTCAAACACTTCCTGAATCTGTAGAGTCGCCCTTTCCATTCCATCTTATCACGAGATCATACGAGACTCACATCCGGAGTTATGAGCCTATGAAGAGGGGCTGAGATACACGTCATCTGCCTCTCACCGTGTGGAACTGGTGAATTGGTGTGTCCGTCTACATTCTGTGTGAAACTGACCAATGGACACACAGGAAATCACTAAGGACTGACCATCACGCCGGAAACCCTTCATTCTTCATTCAGTCCACATCGGAGACTCATGTGAAACGGCGTGCAGAGAGTTTACAGCTGCTGAAGCTGCTGCAGCGGTTTTGGAAAGTAGTGATGAAGATAACGGAGCATTTAGATATGAAACATATGAGGATCATGATATATGAAGAGCCTTTAAAGGAGAGTTTAAGAAGAGATGAACAAATTGAGAACAAGACCCCAGAGCACAGAGGGATAGGTTTGACCATAACATACATTGTTGCCTGTGTAGCCTTTATCATGCTAAATAGCCAGCTAGGAAAGTGATGAAGTTGTATCAGCAGTCATGTATAACAGATGGAGTAGTTTGTAACTTAAAGCCCAGCAAACTGAATGTTACAGTTTTGAAATATTATGAATTTTAATTTATTATGTAAACAGCTTTGTCAGCCATTCTTATGGGTTTAAAATGGGAAATGCACCAAGTTGCATAGGTTTCTGGGCCGACACTCGTGTTCGCTCGGTCCCTCACTGCTCCAAAGGCTCACCTAACACCCTTCACTTCAGCTAATAAACAAAGGGTGCTTAAGATGGTTCCAGAGATTCCCCTAATGAGGCCTTGTCAGAACCAGGGGTGTAGAATACAGCATGGTATCAGTCATGATATCATTTATATTAATAGGTCAGTTGTTTGCAGAAACCTACCAGTGTCCAGAGCACAGGGAAGACTCTTGGTGCCCGGACGATCAAAAGCCTGCCCAGAGTTTCAGGGTAGTTGGCCTCCACCACCTCAATGATGCGCAACAGGGCCTTCACGCCTGGCCTCCACAGGTGACGCATGTTCAGCCCCTCCAGGTCCACCAGGCACGTCCAGGAGCTGTGGGGTATGAGCTTCCATTGTTAGCTAGAGCCTCATAGCACTGGTGTCAAAACTAAAAACTCTAACCTCAGACACAAACCTTGACTTGGCTTGACTACATTTGAGCTAGGAGGGGGACATCTGGATAAACTTTGCCTTTAAATATGCGCACTCACGTGATTGGCCGTCCGAATATTTTTGTGTTCTCTTCACACCTTTTCTGACCCTCTTCATTAATGGATAAAACCTACAAACACAACACACAGACAAATGTGTTGTTTACAAATAAATACGCCACTACAGTAAAAGTGTACACACTAAAAAACCTGTTGTCTTGGTGAATGAAAACTTCTCATATTTAGTAAATATTTCTTTTCTTTCAGGTGTTTAATTTCCAACAGCCATTAGGAACAAAAAAGCAGAAGACATATTTCATAGGACAATTACACAGAAGTCTCAAGAACTCTCAGGAGGCTCACTTTCAGTTCCTCAAAGAAATCTGCCTCCAAAGTTCAGTCTTAGAAGCTGGTTGATCATTTTCTGAAGTAATCAAACACATTGAGGTCTGGACTCCGGGGTGGTCAGTTCTAGAAACACCAGCAGCTTCTACGTCTTGATGTTCTCAGCAGTGTGCTTGGGGTCGTTATCTTACTGTAGAATTAATTTCTTCCCATTCAGACATTTTCCAGAGGGGACTACAAGATGGATTAAACTTTGTTGGTACTCAGCTACATTCATGATGCCATAAATCAAAAACAAATCACCAACTCCAGATGTTATTCTGCATCTCCAGACCTGCAATGATCCTCCACTGTGCGTGACTGATGGTCTGAAGAGGCTCAGCTGCTGTACATACTGACTTCTGTTCCTACCAAACATCTCAAATTTAGACTCATCAGTCCATAAAACCTTGCTCCACATCTCAGACGTCCAGTTTCAGTGTTCTAGTACAGATGTTCTCCTTTTGTCAGTGAGGTTCTTCTTGACAGCTGCACATCCTTTCAGACCCACAGCGCTGAGTCGTGTTCTCACAGTGGAAGGATGGACAGAAACACCTGTGGATGTTTTCAGATCTGAAGCAGCTTGATTTTCTCCTCTCTCTCAGAGATGAAAGCTTTAAGTGCTGTTTATCAGATGGGGGCAGTTTTGGGGTCTACCAGGTCTTCCAGGTGGTTGTTAGGAGCCACATTTTCTCTGTAGCTTTTAATCAGTTTTTGAACTCCTGTGTTTTTCATTTTTTTCCCTTGATTTTCTCCTTATATAAATATTAAATATTATTATACAAGTGGATTATCTAATCTACTCAGAAACATCTACTGAAAAATCAATAACCTGTACTTAATGGACTTAAATAAATGAAGATTGGCTGACTTTCACCCAGTACTATATCTAATATTTCAATGATTTCACTAGATAGTATGACAAACAGATACAAATATCTAGAAATAGGTTGAAAAATCTTTGCATGTTCTCACAACTGTCTCATAAAGAGAAATATTAGATTCATTGACTTCATTTAAGAGGTTTTCACATGCCAAGACATATTTTGTATCTCACATGTCTGAGCAGAGCCTCCTCTCCCAGAGCTTTGACCAGTCCTTTAGTGTCCATCTGTCCAAGTCTGAGGATGTACAGTGGTCGTCCTTCTCTGTCCTGATGGTGCCAGCCACCAGCGTAATACTCCTGCAGACAGCTAGGGGGCACCCATGAGTTCAGAATAGAGTCCACCTACAGAAGAAAGACAAAATACAGTCCAATTTGGTGTACTTGTCTGTGTCGACTGCAGGGCCGTAAGATGTCTGATTTCTTAGTTTGACATTTAAATGGGAATTCTACCAATTTTCCACCTTTTCCCCATAACTCAGTGTGTGAGATGTAAACAGAGAGATTCAGAGTGGTTTGGTGTGAAATGGTTCAGAAGGCTTTACAGTGGTGGTGATAGGAACCAGGGGTCGCCATGACTACAACACAGATATAGACATTTTATTTACTATCCAGAACCACCAGTGAACCTACACGAGTCTTCTGAGTTTATATGGAATGTTGATGATGGAAAATAGTGGAAAATCTGAAATAATAAGTTTTCTTTGGGGACTATTTTGCCTCACAGCGCCCTGCATGTATCCCTCCACCATGAATGGAGTTTAAGTTCTCTAAACTATCATAAAACAGTGTCTCAGTCATCAGGCAGTGAATTCATAACCATTTACTGTAGGAACTTTCTGTGAGGGAGCTTTTAGAGGTGGACGTCTGGTTCCTATCACCACCATTGTGAACAGTTCTGACTCGGTAACACACATCAAACCACTCTGAATGACCCTGTTTATGTCTTAATGTCTGAAATTATTCTGTTTTAAAGAGGCACTCGTGAGCCTCTTTTTGAGACAGGCGAGCACAATGGTGAGGTTTATTCATTTACTTTGTCATTGACATGCATTAGCAAATTAGCTAACACAACACAACATCCCCAGGTATGGTACATGGAACGCCTGCCTTTACAAGGACGCTGTCATTGACGTCATCAAAGTACGCACTTTGAGGACGCCTGCGGGGCTTTGGGCACCTTTTGGGAGCAGGCGCGAGGGGAATTTGGCCTCTCTATCACCTCATGTTTAAACCGCCAGTGAAACAGGACGTCGTTGATGAGCACTTTGGAGAGAGGTGGACTTTAGAAAGTGAGATACAAATTGGAGCATGTTTGTTACATTTAGTTCATAAGAATTTCTAAGGTGGTTTTCTTAGAAAAGTATATTTTCTGATGAGATTAGTTTTTTTTTCTCATGTTTTAAGTGCAAGACTGAGCTAATTAAATATCAGGTAAAAAAAACATTAATTTGTAACAAGATTTTAATCATATCCCATAATTATTTTTAGATTTTTTTGTAGGAAATTTTTAAGTAACTGTGCAATGTTTTTATTGGTCCATCATGAAAAGCTCACACCATGTGAATATCACCAGGTGTGTGTTTTTTTATTTTCAATAGTGTAAGAAAAAGTAAATTAAAACATGAATTTAGGAGGTAATAATCATACAGTGATGATATATGCATATGCGGCGCAGTACTCCTGCAGACCACCAGGAGGAGCAATCTGCACACAGACACACATGACTATACAGTGCAGTACTGCTGTAGACAGGCGTGGTAAAGGGGAGCTCTAACTCTCCAGCATGTTCACCTTAGCATAACGTTAGCGTGACTGAAACAGTAAAATAACGGTCAGATCAGATAAAACTGGACTTACAGTGTACATTATCATACACACACTCAGTGTACTGAGGCAAATAGACTGAACCAGCTCAGCCTCACTGATAAACTCTCCCTCTGTCTCTCTCTCTATCTCTCTCTCTCTCTCTGTCTGTCTGTAGGATTAATAATGGCATATTGTAGCTGGCTGGCTCATTCTACCATTGCAGCTAGTACTACAAAGGCTAATGCTACAAAGACTAAACCTACAAGGACTAATGCTGTAAAGACCAACTACAAAGGCTAATGTGGCGTTTGACTTGGCTTGGAATTGGAAAGCTGGAGCTTGGAATTGCATCACTTTTGACCTTCATGCATTCAATCTAAAAAGGTATCGTTAGTACACCACTGACAATAGCACCACTGACAATAATACTACTGACTGCACATCATAGACTTTAACACTACTAACTGTAACGCCACTGACAATAACACCACTGACTGTAACACCACTGACAATAATACTACTGATTGCACATCATAGACTTTGACACTACTGACTGTAACACCACTGACTGTAACACACTGACAATAATACTACTGATTGCGCATCATAGACTTTAACACTGCTGACTGTAACACCACTGACAATAATACTACTGACTGCACATCATAGACTTTAACACTACTAACTGTAACACCACTGACAATAACACCCCTGACTTTAACACCACTGAAAATAATACCAGCAATGTACCACCACTGACAATAATACCACTGACTGTACATCACAGACTTTAACACCACTGACAATAATACCACTGACTTTGACACCAATGACAATAATACCACTGACTGTGACACCACTAACTGTAATACCACTGTCTGTACACCACTGACCATAACACCACTGACTGCACACCACTAACAGCATCACTGACTGTACACCACTGACTGTTACATCACTGACCCTAACACCACTGACTATACATCATTGACAATAACACAACTGACTGTAACACCACTGACAATAATACTACTGACTGTAACACCACTGACTGTAACACCACTGACAATAATACTACCGACTGCACATCATAGACTTTAACACTACTGACAATAGCACCACTGACAATGATAGTACTGATTGCACATCATAGACTTTAACACTACTGACTGTAACACCACTGACAATAATTATACTGACTGCACATCATAGACTTTAACACTACTGACTGTAACACCACTGACAATAACACCCCTGACTGTAACACCACTGAAAATAATACCAGTAATGTACCATCACTGACAATAATACTACTGACTGTACATCACAGACTTTAACACCACTGACAATAATACCACTGACTGTGACACCACTAGCTGTAATACCACTGTCTGTACACCACTGACCATAACACCACTGACTACACACCACCAACAGCATCACTGACTGTACACCACTGGCTGTTACATCACTGACCCTAACACCACTGACTATACATCATTGACAATAACACCACTGACTGTAACTCTGACAATAATACTACTGATTGTACATCACTGACTTTAACACAACTGACAATAGCATTGACTGTACACCACTGACTGTACACCACTGACAACATCACTGATGTACACCACTGAGAATACCATCACTGACTGTATACTTCTGACAATAACACCACTGATGTACACCACTGACAACACTACTGACTGTACACCACTGACAACAACACTACTGACTGTACACCACTGACAACACCACTGACTGTAACACCACTGACTGCACACCAGTCTGACACTGACACTTCCTGACACTGATTTTAACAGAATTGACAGTAACAACATATGACTGTAAGTCCACTGATGCTAACAACACTGATTGTAGCACCACTGACTTTTACACTATAACTGATTGTACACCACTAACAATAACACTACTGACTCTAATACCACTGACTGTAACACCGATGCTAACAACACTGACTGTAGCATCACTGACTTTTACACAATAACTGATTGTACACCACTAACAATAACACTACTGACTCTAACAGCACTGACTGTAAGACCACCGATGCTAACAACACTGACTGTAGCACCACTGACTTTTACACTATAACTGATTGTACACCACTAACAATAACACTACTGACTCTAATACCACTGACTGTAACACCGATGCTAACAACACTGATTGTACACCACTGACAATAACACCACTGATGGAAACACCACTGACTATAACTCTATACATACCCTCCAAAACCCCCACAAATCAGGACCCCTGTAAGAAGAAATAGCGAGGCAGCAGTCTGGCGTAGTTGTTTCAATTTGTGTAAGAATTTTGCACAGCGTATATATATAGTATGCATATGTGGTATATATACACCCAGTGGTCAATGCAGCTCCTAATGATTACTATGAAGCTGTATATAAATGTACGTATGTATGAATGTGTATGTGTATGTTTCTCTCTCTCTAACCTGAAACTCTTTCCTCCAGCTGAGCGACTGGCACAGCATGTCTCGAGCTTTCTCCAGGTTAAAGTCTCTCGCTCTCAGGAAACGCAGGATGTGCTCGTCCTTCGGGATCTGAGAGAAGAGCAAAGGAGAAAAAACAGAGGAACTGGTAAATGATACCAACATTAACAACGTTAACATTAACCCTCAAATGCTAATGCTACAAATGCTAATGCTACAAAGACTAATGTTACAAAGACTAATGCTACAAAGACTAATGTTACAAAGACTAATGCTACATAGTCTAGTGCTACAAATGCTAATGCTACAAAGGCTAATGTTACAAAGACTAATGTTACAAAGACTAATGCTACAAATGCTAATGCTACAAAGACTAATGCTACATAGACTAATGCTACAAAGACTTATGTTACAAAGACTAATGTTACAAAGACTAATGCTACATTGTCTAGTGCTACAAATGCTAATGCTACAAAGGTTAATGTTACAAAGACTAATGCTACAAAGACTAATGTTACATAGACTAAGGCTACAAAGACTAATGTTACATAGACTAATGCTACAAAGACTAATGTTACATAGACTAATGCTACAAAGACTAATGTTACAAAGACTAATGCTACAAAGACTAATGTTACAAAGACTAATGCTACAAATACTAATGCTACAAAGACTAATGTTACAAAGACTAATGCTACAAAGACTAATGTTACAAAGACTAATGCTACAAAGACTAATGCTACAAAGACTAATGCTACAAAGACTAATGCTACATAGACTAATGCTACAAAGACTAATGCTACAAAGACTAATGTTACAAAGACTAATGTTACAAAGACTAATGCTACAAAGACTAATGCTACAAAGACTAATGCTACAAAGACTAATGCTACAAAGACTAATGCTACAAAGACTAATGCTACATAGACTAATGTTACAAAGACTAATGTTACATAGACTAATGTTACATAGACTAATGTTACATAGACTAATGTTACAAAGACTAATGTTACAAAGACTAATGTTACATAGACTAATGTTACAAAGACTAATGCTACAAAGACTAATGTTACATAGACTAATGTTACATAGACTAATGCTACAAAGACTAATGTTACATAGACTAATGTTACATAGACTAATGCTACAAAGACTAATGTTACATAGACTAATGTTACATAGACTAATGTTACAAAGACTAATGCTACAAAGACTAATGCTACAAAGACTAATGTTACAAAGACTAATGCTACAAAGACTAATGTTACATAGACTAATGTTACATAGACTAATGTTACAAAGACTAATGTTACAAAGACTAATGCTGCAAAGACTCATAGACAACACTTCATAGCCTAGTGCTACACAAACTAACCCTACATAGGTCGATGCTACAGAATAAAAAACATTAGAACATTTGGCTTCAAAGCGCACCAACTCAAAACCACACACTTCATCTTTTTATTATTATTTTTTTTTTGTTACATCTTTTAGCTGTAAAATGGGTGGAGTTTCCCTGCGAGGTCTGTGTGTTTGAGCTAATGTGGTAAAGAGGTCCACTGAGTCTCAGTCTGGTTTAGATCACAGATCAGACTCAAACAGCAGCTCATTCATAAGACATTTATAACATTTATAATAACAGGGTGAGAAACACGACACCTGTTATCACAGAATGAACCTGAGAGAGAGAGGAATGTAATTGAGAGAAAGAGGGAATGAGGGAAAGGGTAAAGAGAAAAACAAAACAGAAAGAAAGGAAGGAGCGAGAAAGAGAAGAGAAAGAGAGGGAAAGAGTCAGGAATGAAATAGAGAGGGAGAGAGAGAGAGAGAAAGGGAACGGGGAAAGAAAGAAAAATATAGAAAGAGAAGTGTAATCAAGAGAGAGAAAGAGGGAGGGAAGCAAAGGGGAAAGAGAAAAAGACAGAAAGAGGAATGCAATTGAAAGAGAGAAGGAGAGGAAAAGGGGAAAAAATAAAAAGGGGAAGAGAGAAAGAGAGGGAAATTAAAGAAAAGAAAGAGAAAGAGATAGAGATGAAAAGGGGAAAATAGAAAAAGGGTAAAGAGAGAGAGAGAGGGGAAAGAGAGAGAGGGAAAGAGAGAGAGAGAGGGGGAGGTATGGAGAGGGAGGTATAAATATCCGGTGTAAATCTCAGTGGGTTTGCGTTCGCAGCGCTCTGCAGCTACACTCGTTCATCACCCTGCAGGATAAACGGAACGTCGTCGCTGCAGTCGGAACAGATAAAAATAATTCCAGGCCGATCTGACGGCTCAGCACTGCTGCACTTCACTGACTCTGAAACACCCCTTTAAAGAATATCACCTCTCGGCTGATACGATCCACGGATGGTGACCTGAGTGAAATGAGGAGCTCTGCTATAAAAACACCAGTGAGGAGTCTCAGCTCATGTTCATACAGCGGGAACGTATACGTTCACACAGCAGGTCAAAGTGGCCCAGATCTGATTTCTTTGTTTGTCTGTTCACATTATGTTTTAAATGTGATCTGTATCATCAGTCTGAACAGATCAGCTCCTAAACTGACCTGCATGAGCAAAAGAACAGAGTGTCACGCAGCTTCACGGCTCATCCAGAGGTAAACAATCACGATCGCCAGCGAACGCCAGTCGCTCCCGGAGGATCAGCTTCATCTTCACCAGCATCACAGGAGCCGGATTTCAGTACCACATATGAAAGCGTCTCAAATCAGAATTGAAAAGGTCCAATTCGGTGTGTTTATCTGTTCACCTTGACGAAAAAAGATCAGATCTGGGCCAATTTTCCTGCGGTGTGAATAAAGCCAAAAAGGAGTCAGCAGTATCAGCTGCTCAGAGGTTTCAATCTCATCTTCTCCAGCATCACAGGAGCTAATAAGAAGTTCTCTCTCTGTAAAAAAAGCCACATTATTCGACCACAACCTCTTCTTTGATTTCTTACAAAGTCAGAGCGGTTTGGAAAAGTCTCTTCTATTTCTGTTTGTACAGAAACAGATGTTTAGCCCAGATGTTTATGTGGTCTCAGCATGAAATTATAACAAATGTCAAGTTTGACTGAAGACGCTTGAATTGCTATCTGGCTGTTCAGACTGAGTCGCATTACCACATCAGATACGTATCAGGTTTCAGCGCCACATATAAAAGGCTATGTTCACATTACCAGACTGAAGTGGCACAAATCAGATTTTTTTTTTGCCCTAAAGTGACTCAGATCTAGTGTTTTCAGAGCTGTGTGGACGCGCAAATCTGATCTTTTTAAACCTGACCAGAACCACATTGTGGTGGCCCTAGATCAGATATGTGTCTGATTTCTGGTCGTGCGACCTTAATGAGAACGCCCAGATCAGAATTCTTTTTGTACAAATCCATCATCCCAGATGTTTATGCAGTCTCAGAAGTGCAAAATTACAATTAATGTCAGGTTGGATTGACATAAGTTGCTTGAATTCCGATCTGGCTGTTCAGACCGAATTGCACTGCTGAATATCCGATACATATTGGTTTTCAGCGCCACATATAAAAGGCTGCGTTCACATTACCAGGTTTAAGTAGCACAAACATGATTTTTTTGCCCTAATGTGACTCAGATCTGATGTTTTCAGAGCTGTGTGGACACAAATATGATCTTTTCAAATCCGACCTGATCCACTTTCATATGTGGTCCTAGATCGGATACATATTCGATTTGTGACCATGCGACCTTAATGTGACGCTCAGATCGGAATTCATGTGCTTTTTTCCACTGTGCCATCATTCAGCGTTACCATGGC